TCCTTACCTTCTGATGCAATGGTAGTCTGCTTATCGACTCAGGAATGTTAGCTCTATGCGCTCATAGCAGCAAAACGCAGTACTACAAAAGCTCTGCCCACAAAAAAATTAGTTCGGTTTCTTTTGGGTACCCCATCATATTTGGTAATTAGTATTTCTGACTATAGTGTCAAATGATAATGAGTTTGAAAGGATGTGAAAGGAAGAAGTTGTGACATAATTTGAGGCATTATCATGGCAACTGCCTGAAGGGAATGTGAAAAGCCAAGACCAGAACCAGTCACCTCCTAAATGTAAGTCAGAAGCATTAATGCTTTAATCAACCTGTGTGGTACAATCAAAGAATACAGCATTTACACAAATACAATACATAAAGTAATATTTGCTTACTGTTTTAACATTCGTACTCATGCTGTTCAGTACTAAACTTGAATTTCAGTCTGTATTCCAAACACATCATGTACAACTTCAGTGCCTGAACTGAGGGACTTACCAGTTCATGTCTTTCAGAGAACTCTGGGCTGCACAAGGTTGACGACAAAGGAGTACAACAACCGAGTCTGCTTTAGCTGGGATAAAACCCAAAACAAACACATTCCTTACACCACATGAATAACATTCCAGAACAGTCTCTCCAAGCGGACCATCTTTATGCAAAGTGACTTCCTAAAAAGAGGAAGCATGTTAGCAATGTAGGGAATACTCACACACACTTAGGATGTACTATAGTCTTTATAGAGATAATTAGTTAGGCATCAGGCTCAAATCTGTTTCATCAAAAAATTACAACAAAATGACCCTACCATATGTCAGTGTTATTCTAAACTTTGTCTGGGCAACCATTTTGCCTAAAAAATACTGATATAACTATCAAGAATATAGCTGAAGATATAAAAAGGACTATACAACAGGGTACACTTCATGCAGCACATAAAAGAGAAAAAGGAATTAACAAACCAGCTACATGACACAGAATACTTCTGAAAACTTAACAGCCACTCAACTGGTCAAAAATTCTTCCTCTTTCATAAAACCCAAAGGTTCACTACCCTACAGTCTGCCAATAAACCCTGTCCTACACCAAAGTAATCCAGCACATACTTGTATTCTCCCAATCCATCTCTTTAAAATGCATCATATTATTATCCTCTTACCTAAGCCTAGCTGCCCCAATTTATTATCTTTCAGGTTTTCTAAAATTTTGTAGCACCTCTCTAGCATCCCATGTTCAATAAATGCCACATCCATCACATCCTCCTGAATCTGATGATACTAATAACATTTGACCAGAAGTACAAATCATTAGGCTCCCCACTATGCAATTTGCTCCAGCCTCCTGTTACATATTCCGCTTGAGTCCAAATATTCTCCTCAGTACCCTGTTCTCAACCATCATCAGTCTGTGTTTGTTCCTTAACATAAAGAAGTTTCACACCCATATACAAAACAGTGAAAACTGCAATTTTGTATGTCTTAATCTTTACCTTTCGAGACAGCAGATGGGAAGACAAAGGATTCTCAACTGCATGGTAGCAAATATTCCTCTAACTGTATTTGAACTTAACTTCTTTGTGAATGCAAATTCTGATTTGTTATTGTTGGTTCCACATATGTGACCTAACCCCATTTTCATAAGACATCTTAGCAGTTTTTATATTGCGATTTTGTCCTGCATTTTGGTGACGACAAATGAATATATGAGATTTTCTGTTATCTTCTAGACCAACCTCCTTACTAGCAACTAACACAGCTTCATTATTTTCTTTATGGTACTGTCACACTTCTGACAGTATACTATTCTTGCCCAGTAAAGTTACAGCATCTGTCTCAAGTACAAAGTCAGGACACTACCATCATGCAATGAATGGGGAGAATTTTGAGTGTTAGGTGCTGACCTTTCTTTTACGAAATTTAGAACCTTCACTTATCATAATGCATCATACCAGAATGTCCTGGAGGAGGGATAAGATAAATCCTTTGTGTACAACAATTCAATCCCAGAGGGCTCTTTCTAAGCTGGGTTACTAAATCTCAACATTGCCAACAAGACCCCCAAAAAAGTAGTGACACATCATATTAACAGTCATTTTACATCTGAACATATGTCTGCAGAGTATAAAATAAAGCTGTTCCACTGTTTAATTAGGCACCATGCCAATGAGATGTGTGTATAAGCAATAAGCACTGTCACATGTGTGACATGTGACAGCTGACTGGCTATTATTATTTTCACTTAATGGTAACGGTTTAGCATAAAAAAAATAAGCTCAATTCAACTCAGAGAAACTGAGATGATTTGGTACCTGGTGAATAAACACCAGTTATGATGGTTTTAAAAAATATTATTCTTAGGAACATATTAATAAATCTGGAGCTCTTGACAAAAAATGAAGCACCTACTTTATCAACATTATATAAAAACTCTGTGGCAAAATTTAGTAGCTCACAGCAGTTGGTTTACTTTCAGCAAGCATAACTATGAAAAGGAACAAGAACTGATCAGTAAAGCAAAATAAAGCTAAACATATCAGGAAGGTATACAGATTTCAAAGCCCCTTCCAACATCATTCATGCACACCCTCTGCCATCTGATGATGGCAGTATCAATAAAGCAGTTTTGAATTTCCCACCATCATGTAAATACTGGAAGTATGTTGAAAATAGAAGCTAGCAACTTTCTAATGACAATGTAATGGTCTACCTCACTGATGATGACACACCTGTGTTCAAGTAACAGAAACAGAATACAAATTATACATCTTTGTGAAACAAAAACTATGAAATCTCAAACAACACATATCATTGTAAATATACTATGTCTGTATTACTTCATTATTTATTGCCACATTCCCACCTTCAAACACACGTGCATGCACATATGCATGCACATAAACAAATTTAAAGAAGTAAATTTCAGTGCATTTTGACTATTAAACAAGTATGAAATGTGAAAATGACAGCTCCTGATCTTTGTGTCATTTGACAAAATGAACTCAAAAGAGTTCATTGCCTGTACGAAGGGTGTTCAGTATATAATGCCTCCTATTTTTTTGTGTTAATATGTAACGTCTGAGCTGGATGTTGGTGGTGTTGTAGTAAAGGTTGAACCTTCCCGCCAATGTACTGTTAGTTTGGTTGTCAGGTGACAGATAGCGACAACAGAGCAGTCTACCAAAATGGCATCTGACATAGAAGTGCGTATGAAACAGAGATGTGTTATTGAATTTCTCACTGCCCAAACAAACTGCACCCACTGACATCCATCGATGCTTGCTAAAGGTGTATGGAGACGATACAGTGGATGTCAGCACAGTGAGCGGTAGGTAGTGCGTTTCAACAGTGGCGAAAGTGAAGTGCACGACAAACCACGCCCTGGGCGTCCCTGCTCAGCTGCCACTCCTCACAATGAACAGCACCTTGAGCAGCTCAACCGTACAGTTTGGTGGATAATGACCAGGGAACTGTGTGCACTGCTTAATAATGGCTGTAATGAACTGGAAACTATGTTGGGGAAGCTGGATTATCACAAAGTTTGTTCCAAGCAGGTCCTGTGGATGCTTACACAGGACCACAAAACTCATTGAATGGAAGTCTGTCAGGACCTGTTGCACAAGTTTGACGCGGAAGGTGACAAGTTTCTGGACAGCATCGTCACTGGAGATGAGACGTGGTGTCACCACTACGAGCCAGTCCGAAAGAGAGTCCATGGAGTGGCGACATCTGGATTCCCCAAGAAAAAAGAAGTTCAAGACACAGCCATCAGCAGGGAAAGTGATGTGCATGATCTTTTGGGACAGGCAAGGTGTGATTTTGTTAGATTTCCTGGAGCCTGGTGAGACTGT